TAAATATTACTTGCGCAAGGATGAAATTGGTGTAATAGTCATGACAGAGATGATACTATTTATTTCCTGTTGGCCTTAAATATCTAGGGTTAACATATTTTCTTTACTGAGATGTATTTTAAATTGGTTCATTTCAGAATCTGAAAAGATCACTTAGGGTGCAGTTTTCTATCCAAATTCCTACTTTGAAGTGTTGGATTGCTATTTTATTCTATGGAAAATATTTTCCAACTTTTAAAAATATGCCTAATTTTCCTTGTTTTTGAGGAAAACATTTTCTTTGGGGGGGTAGGTTTTTGTTTTCCTCAAAATAAGGAAAATATTTTCTTTTCTATGGAATATTTTCCATGCCAATCAAACACACTATTAGAGTTTGACATCAGGAAATAGAGAAAAAGGTACAAGATAAAGGTTTTTATTTTATTTTTCTTCTCTGTAATTGTCAGGGATTACATTTTTTATTTTATCTTCTAAATTGACTACTTTTGGTTTCTGCTTCTTAAAAGACGTGGCTTGAACTCAATTTTCGAATTTTAGATGTGTTTATATATTTTTAGTATCTGCTTAAAACTATTGCACTGACTTGCATTATTATAGCCTATAGGTCTCACTTTACTCAGATGTCAAATCCTTTTATAATATATGTGTCATCAGCGTGTAAAGTATATAGATCATGATTTCATATTCTAATTTCTTTTTATGCTATTTCACAGGAATGGTTCTTGTCTGCTGATTATCTGTGATTAAATCGAATTTTTTGAGAGATTGATTCTTTGAGGGTCTTTTTTTGCCAATGGGTTCACCTGAACACACAAGGAGTTCAGCAAAACAGGATGTAGACGAGGATGTGGAGGTGAACATTGATAGTGTCAGGGAGGACGATGAGTGGGATGGTGATGATAAAAGAAAGCACCGGTCAAACAAGTCAAGGAAACCTGGAATTTGTGAAGACGCTGATGGTTTGGATGGTAGTGCTAGAAAAAGAAGCGCGACTGACAGACATGAGAGTCGAAAGAG